TATCCAGATTACATAAATTCCAAAAACAATTAATTAATTAAAAAGTGTTGAAAAGCATGGTTTGATTAGCAACATGCCAACTTTACAAGCTTATTCGATTCATATATAACCTTATGACTTTTCACAGTGTGTCAGGTTTTTTTTTATCCTGTTCTGCAAATCATGTTATGCAAATACCTGTCAGTGATATATCTGGTTGAGCATGGTAAAAACATAAAATGTCTTTACGCCGTCGATTTCATGGCGTCATTGTCGCTAAAAAATCTCATTTTTTTAAACTGAAAATCACGTGACCAGAATAATTAAATCAACGACATTATGTGATTTACTATCCGGCTATTATGACGTCATAAAAACGGTGAAATCTTTTTTAATTGAAATCTATGTATTAGAAAATGGGGATTTGATGATTTTAAGACAAATTTAAGAACGTTTTTGTTCGATTTTATGTGCATTCTATACAAACGTTCACCTATTTTGACTGAATTCAATCAGCAATATTTCAGAAAATAAAAGAGATCATTTTTTTTTTCGATTTTTAGTTTTAGTGCAACGAGCCAAAGCTGTATGCAAAATTTTACCAAAATCTGTGACATAGCTCATTTACTATTCCTTGAACTTAAACCTTTAAATAAAAACGTACACTTTTAACCAAAATTGATATGGAACTACATGTCGGCACTAACAATTTAGTAGAAATAGTACGTCGATATTTTATACCGTTTGTGAGGAGTAGTAATGAAAAGCAACATTCAAAATTGAACATGACCTTGACCTCCGCATTCCGGGTTCCGTTTTTTCTTAGTATATTGTCTCCAGCCTCCACTGTATGGGTCGGGGCTGACTTGGGCAATTTTTGGGGGGCTTCGGGTTTCAATGATACGATCCGGGTTCCGCTAAAATGGCTTAAGGGAACCTGTCTAAAGATACATGGGCTCCGGACCCCTTAATAACTGTGGAGTCCGTGCATGATTAATAAATTCTGTTTAAAATGTTGTAACTGGAAAAGAATTTTTTTCTTCAATTTCAGGAAATATTTTCCATTTACTCTCTTAATACAAATGTATTTTCCGCACTTTCGCGGGTCTACAGAGGTCTCTTCATTTTAAAACTTGTCGTTTTACTGTGACTTGACTATAGGTGTTGCTGTTTACCTTTATCTATTGTTCAACCAGATTTAAAAATTGACAATACAATTGGGACATTTAAATTGACCAGTTGGTATTGTTAGAGTTGAGTCTATCTTGATGCTACCTGTACTGTTTTTTATTCACATGAATAACCTTACAGCATGCTTTTTTCCTGAAGTTTTTTCTTCACCTAGGGTTATTCTATTATCAAATTTAATAGGGAAGAAAATATTATTTGTTTTCAATGTTTCAAATCCCCAATATAGATTATTCATCTAATTTTGACCCAAACAATCTAAATCGGTGAAAGATTTTCTTACTGCAAGTTAACATGTATGGAAATTAAGACTGGTTTTACATAATAAATGAATCTTTAAATTTTTAACTCTTATACATGGTATTGTCCAGTTGTCAGTGAAACAAGAAGTAGCTATTCAGGTGTTTTCAGTTTCAATTTATCTTTAATATAATTCAGATGGATATGTTATGCATTTCTTCCTATATGCCTTCAAACTTATCATTTTGGAGTATTATTCGCAGTGTTTGAAATCTATTGGAATCAATGAGCATAAAATATTGGGATATTTTTTATTTGAATTCACTTCTTAGTTGCCATTTAGTTTTGCTTCTTAAAATGTGACTTGTTTTTTTCAAGAATGGATTGTCATGCATGTATCAAGGAGGAAATATTTCATTCAAAATGTTTTGTGTGGCTTTCACATGATGATGTACATGTAAAATTGGAAATAATTTTGGAGTATACCTTGAAGTGTTTTTCATTAAAATCTTTGAGGATTTTTGTGCATAAAAATACTGTGTTCAATCAAGGGAATTCACTTTATATAAAATAGGATTTAGTTAATATAAAAGGTAACAAAAAATTCAAAACTGGAATGCAAGTAGGAGAAATTAGTTCTTCCAACATGTTTCTGTGGTTTTAAATGTATTTTGAAAATTATCATTATAAAAGACTGATTCTAATAAGAAGATGATTCACCTGTTTAACATGTTTAAATAGGATATATATCATGGAAAATGAAATAAAATGTGAATACAGTGGATGTAGTCATAAATTAGTGACAAAGTGAAAAATAAAAGTAAAATATTCTAAAAAATTCACAAAAAGAGGATAACAATTTTGAATGTGATATTGGGAATAATCATCATAAAATTCTAGATTTAATATTGTTTGATTGAGATATACATGTATATCCTGGGAAATAAAATAAAAACTGTATACTGTGGATGTAGTAAAATCAAGTGATAAAGTGAAAAATATAATTAAAATATTCCAAAAAAAAATTGTGTGTAAAGTGAGCATAATTATTTAATTAATGTGATATTGGAAATAATCAAAGATTACAAAATTCTTGATCTAATATAAAGACTCTGCACCTGTTTAATTGGGATATATATCATGGGAAATTAAACAGAATACTGTGGACTATAGTAAAATCTAGTGATATAGTAAAAATTGTAAGAAAATTTTCCAAAAGTGAATAAAATTAGGAAAATATTTCAAAATTATTTCAAATAGTGAAACTGGAATACTGGATGTGATATCAAATATCAAAGTCAATAAATAAATAAACTTCACAACTATTATTTTGATATTTCACTATGCTTAAACACTTTGTACAAGGCTCATGTCAATAGGTATTTAGCAAATGCACACTGGTGTTTATTTATCCTGGTAAATTATGAGAAATTATAAAATAATTAAGATTTCCACAGGAGTAAAAAAGACACTATTATTTTGAGTTATCTCCCATTAGAAAAGCCAAAGAGATAAAAGATGTCTTTTCAACAATATAAAAGAAATCTAAGCAATTATAGTATTTGGCTATGAAAACATTAAGAAAGGAAATGTAGTGCATTAGACAACATGCAATTGGATACCCTGCAAAAAAAACCATATGCGTTCTTCTTCTGGCTTGCTCACTCCTAAAATTTGAAATGACAGTAAAATAAAAATCTCTCTTTTTTTCCTTCAAACTGTTGTATTTCTTTGGCAATTGTATGGCCAATTACTTCAAGGAATACACCAATTTCAATGGAAAAAAGACTGCAATTACTATATTTGTTTCATAACTTCTTTAAGAATTCTCTAATGAAAAACATGGGTATTTTTTTTTTAAATCAGCAGTTTTTATCAAATATTAGAACATGGAATAAGTTTGCATCTTGTGGCCACACTCTAGCTTTATTTATACCATATATGCTATTTAAACTGTATGCATATTATGTTATTTGACAAAGATAAAAACTGAAGCCTGAATAACTTTTGAAAGACCTATCCCAGTTACACTACAAAAGTTAAATTGAACATGTGAAGTGATGGGACAGCATCAAGGTAGACTCAAAATGCATGAGTGATCACCTATTCATCAACTCTAACAATACCAACTGGTCAATTTAAATGTCCCTATTGTATTGTCAATTTTACAATCTGGTTGAACAATAGGTAAAGGTAAACAGCATCACCTATAGTCAAGTCACAGTAATATTGATTACAGTAAGGCTAGGTGATTGATACTGCTTTAACGCAGTTCAAAAGTAAATATTTCTAAAATTTGTAGTGACAAATCGCATGTCAAAATTTTATACAAATATTGCTTTATAGAATTTGAAATTTTTTTCCATAACTGTTTACAAATTCAAATATGTATTTATAAACCAAAAATTCAAATTCAATGGTTTTATGTGTTAAAAAAATACAAGTAAGTTTAAGTAGTAAATAATGGGATATCAACTCGGTAAATTTCCATTATATTGGCAACGTGGCTAACGATTAAACTTTACAAACATAGATTAATTGTTTTAACACTTGACAATTTAATTTACTTTCTGAACGTTCTAATTTTGAAATGCGTATACATATCATAGATGATGCAAGGCTCTTTAAACGGATTTCTTGGATTTGCAAGATTGATTGATGATTGATTGTTGTTTGATAAAAACAGTGCAAATATTTTTAAATAAACACAAACAACACTATGGCCAAAACCAAAAAGACAACAAATTTAATTAAAATTCGTAAAGTGAAAAAAGATGTAAAGGCATCCTACACTTGGGTAATGATATGTGTCTCCTATAAAATATTGTAAAGACATTACTATTTCTTAAAGAATCAGTACATTTAAATTCTGTAACCTTTAAACATATCCAAATGAGAAGTTTGAAATGAAAAAAAAAGACCAGCCTCTAAAAATAAAGGATAGACCATGACATATACAATAACACGTACACTGAAAAAATAAAACATTATGAAATACACCCCAAACACTTAAGCAATAGGAGCAGGAACTTGGGTGAACCAAAATACTATGGAATGGTAAGTCCAATATTACTATGACGTCTGACGGCCTTTTAGTAGCATAAGGACGTGGGATTTCAAAGCGCAGTATTTTGAAGAAAACATGGAAATCGACAACCCAAACTTGGTTGGACAAGATTCTGTCTCGAGATCTAGAAATATAATACTGTCAAGCAGATAAATCATATACAAGTCCCTTTCTGGTTCATTTTCCTCCCGAAATAAGTACATTTCCTTTACCATCTACTGCCATGTATCGCAAACGAAAGCGTAATCTCCTGAACTATCCATTTTTAGCGACGTACTTCTCGCTTTCTCAGATATATAGCAATCTCTCGTAATATCCTCACAGAACCTGTAATCTTTATGCAAATAAGGTACGCGTGCACTATGTTTGTGAGATATTATTACACATGTTTATGCTTGACCTTTCGCTTTATTGTTATTAATTTTTTTTTTGCAGAATTGATGTTGGTAACAAGCTTTAATACATCTTTTGCGTTTCAAAACATTCAGTAGTCTGTATTTAATACACACTTGTTTATTTACTTTAGCGGAAAGCGACATTCAACCAGTTGAGGTTATCTATGCGTATACTCCCGAGAACGAAGATGAACTTCAACTTGTGGTCGGATGTGTCATAGACATACTTAATAAGGTATGGTGAACTCTGTTAAAGAATTTTTGTCAAACGACTTTATACAGAATGAATATTTATTAGTACCGATCTGTTATGTCAAAGTTTAACTGATTTTAACAGTTTTAATGTTGTGTTGTAACACACTATTCTAAGCAAGGTGAGGGTTAAACGCTCACAACATGTTAGGCCCGCACATTCTTTATCAGAGTACAATTACGGTGTATTTTCTTTAGTGTATACGTGGCAAACAATATATTGGCGAGTTAGGACAACCATTTGACAAACGAATGAATGGTCATCGAATGGTCATCGTAGTTACTATTATTGTAAGCAAAACCTCCCTGTCAGTCGACATTTGAGATCATCTGGCCTCTCTAAGGCAGATCTGAACTGACTGACTACTACTATCATTGATCACAATACTTCATGGTCCAGATAGAGAGTCACTCGGGGGAGATTTTGGATAAGAAAGTTGAAAAGAGGTTGTTGAACCCAAGCAGTACTAGATGTGTTACTTCATTTTGAGACGTATAAGTACGCTCTCCCGTCGATTGTAAATAGTTTATTTGTATTTTGTCTATGTTATAAGATTAAAGAAGACAAAAACTCTCAACTTTCATCTTTTGTTTATAATTGATTTGTATGTATTTCAAGATTTTTGAATTATAACTTTAACTTTTCTACAAACAGTGTTTAATTTGTATGATGGTTGTGATTTTTTTTTATATCAGTATAGTAAGTGACAGAATTTTACACCATGCTGCTCCTACCGATGATAGGAATTTTGTATTTTTTTTTCATGTATTTTAATCATTGTTCTGGTGTTGTACACTTTTAGACGTGTATCTCCATAACGAACGGACACCCTCTTAAGAATGATTGTTGACTACTATTTAGACGTTCTATATATAAATATATATATACTTAACATGGCCATATACACATATGTTTCCAAAAAGTCTCAAGCTTATTAATTCTAAATCAAACACATGAAACAGGGATGCTTTTGAGGCCTGTCATTTTTCTTTGGGTAACTGATATCATCTTAGGACAATAAAAAAAATGTCGACTAGTGTAATTTTATATTATGCGGAAACGATAAACAATTTGAACAGATTGCAAACGAACATTTGTTCATTCCTTATTCAGTCTCAATAAATGGCCTTCAGTCAGAAATCAAAGCTATATTCACTACCACTTTCTACATATAATTATTTTTAGAACTAAATTTGGGAATCCCATTTCAACCAATACAAACTTAAAGCTATCATCTCGGATATTGTCTGTCAAAGACTTTCAGACCGGTCGACATTTCAAAAGTTGTAACTGAGAAACAATCCTTTCTAACTCTTTCATCATGAATCATTCGAATCGAAAAAAAAATCCCAACTTTAAAAATCAGTCTGTTTCTATCACCCCTCGTTCCTTTATAATACCTATTGCGACTAAAACTTTCCAAGTACACACACGTGATGAAGAACCTCAATATGGACGTTAAAAAGTACTTTTTAAGTTTTTATTACTGGTAACCTGTTCCTTTTCAATAACATATAATTGTGTTAATGAAGGGACCAAATTACCGCAAGCCTAACTCATAAACTGGAAATACAACTCTAAATTACTATTAGATTCCGTCGAGAATTATGCCAGATTATAGGATAAATGCGAAAAAGAAGACGTAAATGCCATTTCCGAATTTGTTACTTTTGTGAGTTCGTTGATACAAATAAGAATTTAAAAACTTATGAAAACTCGTGCTCCGTTTATCTTCAAATATCAAAATGTTGCTCATAAGCACCTGTCCGATCTCTATGATGATTATGATGTTGTATCTGCAGTCATATCTCCAACAATATCGTTTTCGCTTGTAATTTACATTACATAAACTACATGAAAGGGATTAGGTATTGACACGTCATTTTGAAACTCAACATATACTTTACGACACTTGTCAAAGAGGAAATACTAAATAATCATTTCTTTTGAAATTTCAACAAATGATCAAAAACTTGATCTTCTTTATTGTATACACAAAAATAGCTTAAATGTCCTCCCAAAAAACGTTATATTGCTGAGTCTGCCAAGGCTTCTCGAAGCGTCTTTCAAATTATTTACATATATTTTATCAACAATTAAAACAGGCTTTAGAGTAACTATGAAACTACCTTATTTTGTTTCGTTGTGAATCAGATGTAAATACTGAAAAATGCCATAGAACTGTTAGAATAAATACAGCACATGGTGTTTTCTTCGTGCAATGATATAAAACCATTATTTAGCTAAAGACAGAATGAAATAATTAGTCCAACTTTGTTTCATTAAGAAGAATGGTCAACGTAGATACAAATATCTTGTATACGAACATGTTTTCTTGAAAAAAAATCTTTGATAGAAACAAACAGTCCTCTAAAACTGACATTATTAAGATGCTCGATTGATTAATGATTAGAATATTTGTTGTGTGGAGGACATGTATTCCAACAGACAACCGAAATTCCTATGCAAACAAGCTGATTGTGCACCACTCTTCGTCGAATTTCTCCTTTATTGTTTTGAGGTAGACTTCGTCTTCTTTCGCAGCTCAGGAAGAATGACAAGAAGCTACCACTATTTTTTTTGAAATCACGTTCTGCAATGCAGATAACGTCCTTAAACTAAATAGTTCAAAGTTACACAAACATATCTTGACTTGCATCTATAATTTTACAATGGTGGTCGGTTGAGAACTAAACTTTATGATAAAAGATATGACTTCAGCTTTTCTATGTAGTAAAATTCCAGCAGTGCCTTCATGTGGACTCTATATCTCGCAGTTAGTATGATATTTCAGAACTTACGTTTCTCATCATGATATTATGATTTCCGTGATAAATTGTTGTTTCTATGGAAGCTATTGATTCAAGGTTTCCAATGGGTGAAGTTAAAGTCATTCCTTCGAGGTGTTTACGGATGCCATCATGATTTGGATGACCGTTATTAAATATCTGTGTCACATTTTTTCACAGATATGCTCTCATTGTCGTAGTCAACATCCCACCCTCTTATCCAGGATTGAGCAATCACCGAAAGCGGCTTGTCACCGATTTTTTAATCACCACGAGCACGTAACGTATGCTACAAGTCGAGCAAGATCTTTCGTAATCTTCCGGATCACATGATAGCAACACCTGGTTTTCGTAGGGTTCGTGTTGCTCAGTCTAGTTTTCTGTGTAGTAATATGTTGTTTTTTTTTTTTTGGGGGGGGGGGGGGGGGGGGATTTTCATTTTGGTAACTAGGCATTAAAACACTTTGAAATATCATTATTTCCATTATAGGATGATATGATGGTTTGGTTATTTACGGGGGTATTTATAGACATGGTGCAAGTTAAAATAATTTGAAAAGAAACAAAAACAAACGAATGAAATTTGTTATTAGAAAAATATGAACAAAACGTTGCGGTAATGATATGACCTTTATCAGATTCTTTCTTATATTTTAGGACGGTGACCCTGGGTGGTGGTTTGGTCGATGTGGAAATAAAGTGGGATTTTTTCCAGATAACTTTGTTACAGTCATTACAAAGCATAAAACCTAATGCGCTTGTTCAATATTTGTGGAAAAAAACCAACAAAGCCAAAAAGAATGCAAAAGAAAACTAAACTAAAGATAATGCGACGGAATTGTTTTGCAGAATGTTTTCTTCATGAATGGGGATTAACAATTGTAAATAAATCAATATTATATTCTACAAAGTTAATGATCAAACATAATACTTACGCTTGGTTGTATTGGTCCTGACTTCATACATGCACTTTCGTAAGAAAGTTTAAGGTTGGAACAGGTTGACAACAAGCCAAACATCCCATTCACAAGACGGTTACTGTAAACCAACTCATTTTCGCGGATACTTTATTTCGCGTTTAGCTTTTTCTTGCCCACTTCGCGGCGATTTAATTTCGCGATTTTCAAATTTACTGGAAGTAGTTAGATATGGAATAATCCCAGTTTTGAAGTTTTGCGACGATTTATATTCGCGTTATTTTTCTACTCGCGAAAGTCGCGAAAATTAGTTGGTTTACAGTATATCAGTTTCATTAAACATGTATCTGCTGCAGTTTTTATACCATATTTAAGTTATTGGGGTATTTGTCATGTTATTCGTTTTGATGCACATATGCATAATGATTGGATTTGACCTTATTTTTAAATTCAAAGAACAAAGATCCTTTCGTGGAAAAGGATTCAATGATTTTCTCAAAGGATAGAATAGTTTGACTTAAGTTGATATAAATAATATCACGATTAAAACTATTTGTTTAATATTGATACAAAAATCATTTATTCGAAAGTTATCATAGCTTAATTTGTATTAGGTTTTGTACTATCAATTGACAATACAGATAATGTAGTATACGACCAATTTCTTTTTGTTAAATTGTTTTCGATACACATATATTTTATCTTTCAAATAATTATAGATTACAGAAATATATCTGAAGCTTGACGGTAATAAGTAATAATCTCATCACACATTCCATTGGCACAAAGGAAGACACGAAAGTTCTGTTTTCTAGGTTTAGAGATCATTCTCCAATTGAAAGTTATCAGGAAGATTGACTAAAATCGTTTACTGTCCCCATCACGAATTGGATGATTGAACGATTTGTCTGTGTCTCAAATTATGAGAGACAATTTTCGCGGGCTTATATCTTTAGATACATATATACAAGAAAAGTTGCCTGATCTGTAAATTTACCGATTGCGTTAAATTCCACATAAAGACATTTTAACTATGCGAGGAATTGCATGCCGGCTGAGGCGTACATAGTAGGAGACGCTTACCCTGACGACACACCCAAACTCTAGTCTTTTGAATTCCATGCTATCCCTCAGTTTTTTGTTTTTCTCTTGATTTGCACCTTCTTAATTGATTTATGATATCTGTACGAAATGCCTACATTTTATACAAAATCTATTTCTCAAATGCCAACAAAAATAATTAAATAGATGTTGTTTTAGTAAATAGGTGTTGTTTTAGAACAAAATTTAATAACTAGGAAATGAGTTAGTTTAAATGTAAAAATTATTGTTCACCTTAAAAATATTATATTTTTTTAAATAAAAATTTATTTGAAATGAAATGGCATGTAATAATACTATTAAAATTGTTAAGTAAACAAATAATTATAAGAAAAATAGTATTAAAATTCAAAGTAAAAAATTAAAATTGAAACAAATAAATGAAAAAAAACGACATTTTAAAGTACATTTATGAATAGAAATCATTTAAATTTTAAAGTACATAGATATATTTAATGTATGAGCAAACCAATTATTGGTACGACGTGCTGCTGTATAGCCATTGGTGCCAGTAGAAGAAGTCAAAGATGTCTGGTTTAGTGCTCTAGAAGATCTTTAGAGGACCTTACAAGATGCCAGCAACTTCAGTATGCAGCAGGTGGAAAACATTTTGATTTATGGAAGCGAAAATACATGGAAATTTAAGATAGACTCTCCAACATAAAGATTCAACACCAGAACGGAGAGATTTCGACAGTTCAGTTTGAAGATGCTGGCTCATACTTCCTTCACTTGGACTAAATTGACAATATACTTGTATACTTGTGATGAGACTATGTGATTATTCATGTTGTAAATTTTTAAAACATGTTTGCTTCATTTATTTGTGATTGTGTTAAGTGGCTTTTTTTTCTTATCTTGATATTTATCTATATGCTTGTTTACATGATCAATTGAACATGAATAAATATATATTTCTTATTTTAGTTATCTTTCGTTTACATTCACTGAGCTGTCAAAGATGTGGGTATTTATTATACATAAAAAAAATCATTTCAAACATACAGACAAAAATTCAAAATATTAATTTGTTGCAAACAAACAGGAAAATAAAAATTTGGATTTTTAATTGGGAAAGTCAACTTGTTCATTACTGTTTGTTTTTACAACACTTAATTGTTATAAGACACAATTCCTTGAATGCCTACATTTATTTACCTGTATTTTGTCGGCAGATCAAAAGGTTTACAGTTGGAAATCTAGTGAAAGATAACAATAGAAAATTCACTCTTATGAAAAAGTCGAGAAAATCAAAAATAAAACAATGCCGGTGACGATACTGATCAAAAGTTATTTCTAAAAAACAATTGTACATTTTAAAGAAATTATTTATCAAACTGTGTAAATAGAAATATATATGCAAATACACGATGTTTTATGTTTAGTATTTATCGAGATACTTGCATTAGAAGCTTGTGCATCTGAAATTAAAAAAATGATAATCTTTGCTGCATATTGATAAAAAAAATGAAAAAAATTATGTACATACAAAATCTAAAGATCTTTCAGGTCACCAATTTTCGGACTATTTCAAAAAGTCCTTAGCATGTTACAATTTTCCAAAATATACTTATTTTTCACATCTAATTTTCGAATACACCGGTCTGCTCTTGTCACGTGAACACTCAATACAGAAATATTGTCTTTTCGTGAATATAACAATTTAAAAGTCTGTCTGTGCAGGTTCAAAATTTAAAGATAAATATTTTATAAAGAAGGTATCTTTTTACTATTTTTATACAATTTTAAGAAAAGTCGTCTCGAGTTTTGTACATGTATTTGCGGTCTTCTCGATCTATTCACATTCAATGTTTACATCGGGATAATGTCCGTTTGAATTTGCTTAGTAACTTTATTTCAAAAGTGTTAATCTTTGCTGCATATCAATCGATTCCTTTTGGAATTTTTTTCCCTGAACTTCTCTGATCGAGCTGTATATATATATACGGATAATTAGCATGTTCCAGAGAGGTATAAAACCAGTAGAAAAATAAATTGAAGCAGGTAATCCAGGAATTTATTCGCATAGCAACGTTTTGAACCAATTTTACATCAAGCTCCTAAAGCCTGCTGTACTCGTCGTTTGCTATTTAAGGAGGGAAATGATAATTTTAAATGGAATTTTTGTTTTTATTTCAATTTATTTCTATTTTAACTATTTACCAGATATTTTCCGTTGAATAAATAATTGATAGCGTCTTTACTAAAACGGGACAAACATTGAAAAGATATAGTTTTCAGTGTTTACAGGGGAGGTAATATTTTGTCACTAGATTTCCCACTGTGTAGTCATTCAATGAATAAACCATCTGTACATAGATAAACTACTTTTGTCTCTAATTAATGTAAGGAATATAACCCATAAACAATGCAATCCATTTAATAACATTAACGGTACTAATCAGTAAACTTACCGATGCTATGAAAAAAAATTTGAAAAGGTGTTATCAATTTAATCCAGAAAAGCGCTTTGGACTTGTGAAATTTATAACGTCATATTTTCATTTTAACAATATTCTAAGTAGTAAGGTCAGTGTTTATTTTTCCAATGGTATAACCATTGATTTTGTTCTTTAGTGAATTGAAACATAACTTAATATTGATGGCAAAACATTTATGAACTGAACCATTTAACAACAATTTGCGTCATACTTTAAATAGTTTAGTAGAGTTTTATATTATATTTCATCAGAAACACACTCCTTCATAAAAATCCAGATATCTCATTAACTTTAAAATCATTTGTTTCGTCCATATCAAGTTCTTCAGCTCTAGTTTAACTCATGGCATATTTGCAAATACGCTGTGATCATACACATTCATATGAGGTATGTGTTACCTGTGAACAGGGTGAAAATCCGTATGAGTAAAATTGAGAATGGAAATGGGGAATGTGTCAAAGAGACAACAACCCGACCGAAGAGCAGAAAACAGTAGCATTTTAGAACAACCATCTACTTATTATTTACATATTAAAATTAACAAAATAATTTTGAATCTGATTGTTAAAGACTCAATTACTATTACATTATGTAAAAGCATTACAAAAATCAAATAAAATGTATCACATAAAGTGGAAATTACAAGTCATTGCTTCATGATTCAATCTGAATAATTAAAAAACCCGGTTTACCAATAATTGCAAACTTTGTCGCATAATTTCTGTAGAAAAATAAGCAGAAATACGATCGATAATAAACCAGAATATAACAATAAAAAATCAATCTCACTAATGGAATCAGATTTATTTTAGAAAAGCAAAAAAGAAGAGAAAATGGTACGATTTATATATTTGTCGTTTTAATTAATGCAAGTTTTCATACCTTTCGGCAATCAGATATACCATTTCGAGGAAAATTGTGAGTTCATGATGATGATTTACGAAAAATTCCTGTAGTTCCCATTGAACCATCCAAAAGTGGTGTATAAAGTAATGTCCTCAAAACAGTACGAAATCCAAAATAAATTCAATGTACTTGCTGCTAGCGAATTCAAAAGATTTAAATTAATGCTTTCTGTCCAAGTACCAATGTACCAATTTTTTTTTAATTCGCTATAACTCGCCAGCCGCATGACTTCATAGCGAGTTAAATCGTTATAAAAATCGGTATAATATGGTGTACCATTTGGTTCAAAAGGTATTTTTATCGACTAACCGCTACTTTTATCGGTTAACCGCTATTTTTATCGGTTAACCGCTATAAATATGCCGGTTAACCGCTAGTTTTACCGGTTAACCGCTAATTTTATCGTTAATCGCTATTTTTATCGGTTAACCGCTATTTTTATCGGTTAACCGCTATTTTTATTGCTTCATCAATTCTAATTTATCGTCTATGCACAAATAAATTATTATCTTAAATGAGTAAGTGATTGATGGACAAAGTTTATCGCTTAGCCTGTTAAAACGTAATGTGGATTGCTTACGCCTCCCATATATCTATTTTTGGTCAATCACTCCCACCCAAGTTGTAGACATACGCACACAAGATTTTAGTGTTGAACACGTGGCAATTCTATATAGCACTTTATTGTACGTCAACAATTTTTGTTTTATTTAATTTTACACTTTTAATATGACAACATGTATTGGATTTCATGGATCTGAATATAAAATAATTATATGACGATGTTTTAAATTCCAAAAACTTAGTGAAAAAACATGAAAATGCTCATTTATCAAATAGAGGTGCTTGTATATATTCCACTACTACAAATCTGTGTAAATGATAATTCGATTGATGATTCCGTGTGTAATGAAGACGAGAAATGTTATCCTCTAACATGCACATATATTTTGAGTTATTTCCAAATTAGAAATGAAATGAAAAACTGTTCTCTTCCATATTTCTCCCACAGACATGAAACGATATCTATGATACATTTTCTATATTATTGAATTAAATTGTTAATGCTATTCAAAAACTCTACCAATGCTTTAATTCAATATTTTTTTAATAAATCACTTGAAGAATGTATTTTTTTTATAATTGTATTATTGCAAATGTTATTGGAAAAAAAGGTGGATTCAGCATCTACTTTCCGATTTATGTCCGATATATGTTACAAGCTGGGTGGTATAAAGTAATGGAGAGAGTTATTTAAGAGAAACAAACGTTTTATGAAAGTTCGTCAAAATTCCGCCTAAAATGGAAAACTGTGCATCAACTAATAGAAATGTACATAACTGCTTTTTTAGCTCACCTGGCCCAAAGGGCCAAGTGAGATTTTCTCATCACTTGGCGTCCGTCGTCCGTCGTCGTTAACTTTTACAAAAATCTTCTCCTCTGAAACTACTGGACCAAATTTAACCAAACTTGGCCTATATCATCATTGGGGTATAAAGTTCAAAAAATATGTTCGTTGACCCGGCCAACCAACCAAGATGGCCGCCATGGCTAAAAATAGAACATAGGGGTAAAATGTAGATTTTTGCTTATATCTCTGAAACCAAAGTATCTAGAGCAAACTGAAATGGGAGTAAAATTGTTTATCAGGTCAAGATCTATCTGCCCTGAAATTTTCAGATGAATCAGGCAACCCATTGTTGGGTTGCTGCCCCTGAACAAGTAATTTTAAGGAAATTTTGCCGTTTTTGTTTATTATCTTGAATATTATTATAGATAGAGATAAACTGCAAACAGCAATAATGTTCAGCAAAGTAAGATCAACAAATAAGTTAACATGACCAAAATGGTCAGTTGACCCCTTAAAGAGTTATTGCCCTTTATAGTCAATTTTTAACAATTTTTCGGAAATTTTTGTTACCTTTTACAAAAATCTTCTCCTCTGGAATTACTAAGACAAATTTAACCAAACTTGTCCACAATCATCATTTGGGTATCTAGTTTAAAAAATGTGTCTGATGACCCCGCTCGCGAACCAAGATGGCCGACATGGCTAAAAATAGTACACAGGGTAAAATGCAGTTTTTGGCTCATATCTCTGAAACTAAAGCATTTAGAGCAAATCTGACAGGTGGCTAAAAATGTTCATCAGATTTAGATTTATCTGCCCTGAAATTTTCAGACGAATCCGACAACCCGTTGTTGGGTTGCTGCCCCTGAATTGGTAATTTTAAGAAAATTTTGCAGCTTTTGGTTATCTTGAATATTATTATAGATAGAGATAAACTGTAAACAGCAATAATGTACAGCAAAGTAAGACCTACAAATAAGTCAACATGACCAAAATGGTCAGTTGACCCCTTAAGGAGTTATTGCCCTTTATAGTCAATTTTTAACAATTTTCATAAATTTTGTAAATTTTTGTAAATTTTTACAAAATATTTTCCACTGTTACTACTGGGCCAAGTTCATTATAGATGGAGATTATTGTAAGCAGCAAGAATGTTTCAGTAAAGTAAGATCTACAAACACATCACCATCACCAAAACACAATTTTGTCATGAATCCATCTGT